TAAACAGCATGGGACTATTGATAGATCCCTGTGGAAGCCCCTCAAAAACATATCTAGGGCCTATAAATTGACCTTTGCCACTTCTTATATAAATCTCTCGATGAGAGTACAAACCGATCAGGTTTTGCGCTAGTTGGTTCGGGAATTCCAATTTAATGAGTTTCTTCTGAAAAATGTCTAATTTCACACATCCGTAAGCATCCTTGAAATCGATAAAAACCGCTCCTACTGTTTCTTTTTTGGAATAACTTATTTGTATGTCGGAAACTAGTTTTGTTAAAGCGTCAGCGGTGCCTAATCCTCGCTTGAATCCAAATTGAAAAGCCTGTAGCTTTTTCTTGCTTTCCAACCACCATTCAATCCTATTCTTGACCATTCGCTCTAATGTTTTAAATATACACGATAAAAGTGATATAGGCCTATATGATTTTGCATCGTTTGGGTTTTTATTGGGCTTAATTATTGGGACAACAATGATTTTTTTAAAGGTGGGCACGCTATCTCCAAACAGGTACACTCTATTAAATGCAGTTACCAATAATTCCTTCGCCACGGTGGGCAGCCACTTTAATAGCTGATATGTAATATTATCAAAACCTGGTGCTGTATTCTTAGCTGATTTGACTGCCTTGATGAGTTCTTCAATTGAAAATGGTTGTTGTAAAAAAGGATCACTTACGTTAGACGTTTCCTGGTTTTTTTCTGATTGCACGTACGCCGGGGCTAAATTGTCAGCGAACTCTTCAATATATGATTCCGATACGTGGTGAGAGGTAGGACATCTTTTAAATTTTCTCACGATATTCCATAATTTCTTTGAGGACGTAGATGTGTTTAAGTTATTACATAGATTTTGGAAACTGTCGCGTTTTTTGTATTTCAAAAATCTTTTAGAGTGCGCAATAGTCTCTTGACAAGTAATGAAATTATCCAAGGTTGGATTTAACTTGTAATTCTTTACCGCAAGTTTCCGGCAGTGTACCACATGAGAACATTGATTGTCCCACCATGGGGGTGGAGGTCTGGATTTCTTTAACACAGGTTTTCTTAATACGAAATTACTGTCGCATCCCTTTTGCACTGAATCCACAACACAGTCATTTCTGTTATTTCTGCTGCGGACTTGGGTACCTCTTTAGCGTTTAGACTTCGATCCACGTAATTACAAACTTCTAGACTTTTCTTATCATCTATTTTCCACCGAGTTGTAGGGTAATAGGTGAACTGGAGTTGTAAATTGAAATTTAAGTTCATGCGAATGGGAAAGTGGTCTGACCCATATGTATCATCCATTACCTTCCAAGTGATATGAGTAGCAATCCCTGGCGATGCAAATGTAATATCAATTGCAGATCTCGCTTCGTTTGGGCGCCCGAGGCGCGTAACTGATCCGTCATTCAAAAACACGCTATTAGTCCCATCTATTACTTTTAATAGAATATTTCCCGCGTTATCGCTTTTAGATGAACCAAAGGCCCTATTGTGTGCGTTCATATCACCACCCACCATGTACCTCTTCCCTAATTGCCCTAACATGTGCAAATACTCGCCTTCTGTTATGTTACTCGCGTAACCCTGCGGCCTATATAAACACATTACATTCAGATCAAGATCTAGCAACTTGACCCCACACACACTAATTTCAGCATTATCAGATTTAATATTCAACGGAGTGTATTGAAGATTTCTATGTACAAGTATAGCGGCGCCACCGTAACCATCCGTACGATCGTGTCTTACTAATGTGTAATTTTTAAAAAAATCTATGTGGTTACTTTTGTACCAGGTTTCCGTTAAAAGGGCTATATGGATGTTACACTCTGCTAACATATATTCTAAATTCGGTTTATTGGCAGCAACAGATCTTATATTCCATTGCAAAAGGTTTAAATTGTTATAATTATTGTTATTATGCATTATGTAAAATGTAATATGTAAATTAAAATTAAAATAGTAAAGACAAATAAGCAAAATAAAACGTTTACGCAGTTTCAGAGGATGATGGATCGCACAGCGATTCTAGCTCTTGGTCCGATAAGAAGGAATCTTGTGAAGCGATTGAACTGTTTTCTGAGTAATCCGTGGGCGTATTGAAGCTTGGAAGGAGCTTAATGAATCCAGTAATCAGGCGTTTTAAGCGTGCTTTGAGTCGATTGGTTTTGACCGCTTTTCGACACTCAATCATTAACTCAACAAATTGTTGCTTATCCTCACAGAATTCACTAGCTATTGGAAAGGGATTGCTTTGACCTTTTGCACGCATAAGAAAATTGCAAAAACTATCATAATCTATAACCGTTTGTTTCGATTGAAAAACATTTTTAAATTCCGTAAACAACGTGGAATCCTTTTCTATCGATAGGGACTCCTTTGAATCGGAACGCTTTGCTTTTTTCGCGGGTTTTTTAAATGTGCCACCTGACGCTGTAGTCTCCGCAGAGGATGACGCAAGTGCCCGTTTAGGTCTCAACTCATCGGATGTCCTATTGAACTCTACCGAGTCCATCTGTACCATTGATTCACTACCTTGCAATTCCTCGGATGTCCTAATTGGCTCTTCCGAGTCCATCTCTACTAATGATTGGCGACTTTGTCGAACTGGAGTGACTAACTGTTCCATGGTATTGTCATTTGACTCTTTATTATTCGAGCTGCAGTTTGAAGGGCACTTAGACGCTTTATGACCTTTAGATTTACAAACAAAGCAAACTAGATCGTCATTCGACAAAAAAATTCTGAAAACCGTTTTATCATAAGCTAGCAACGTCGTAGGGGGTATTGACGAACCTACTTCTAAATCAATATACACTTGCCTACGGAAGCTTTGGACATGTTTGTAATTAGGATCGGGAGAGCCTACACTCACTAAAGTAATTGGAGAGACCGGCTTTAACTCTAATCGTTTAAGTTCCTCATACAAAATGTCATTTGGAATTACTGGAGAAACGTTAGAAAGAATGATTTTAGTTGCTGGAGATACCAGCTTACGTGCTGCTATAAAGCTATCTTTAACTTGTATACCTTTATTTTCTCTTATAAAGCTATCTACCATTGATTTTGACGCAAGGAAGATGCATATGCGCCCACCCGAGATGCGAGATGCAAACGTAACATTTTTTGGACCTATTATGGTACCTACTCCAACAATGTAATCAAATAGCGATACTCCTTCAATGGCAGGAAAGATGATACCTTGGGATCTCTCGGGAAAATTATATTTCGGCTCCGATTGTATACCTGCTACAGATGCAAAGGTACGGTTGTCCATATTCTGTGAGTTGTTAATATTCTCAGTTACCATTACTTGATTGTTTACGACCTCCATGACAGAGGAACCCAAACAGGTAGGACACGCTTAGATATCAGGCCCTCGTGGCCGTATTAAATTAACACTGCGATGCAATGTAAGTGTCCCCACCGCTAAGCGGTGTGGACAAACGTGCGTAAGCCGAGCAATAGATATAGATAGGCGAAATTGTCAATGGCGATAAATTTTAATACAAATATCTAAATTGACTTAAGTTAGTTGGCACTTATCTTATTTTGTCACGTATCCGTAGGTTACAACCTCGTGACATCGAAAGGTGTAAAGGCTTACTGCTGATAACACACCAAAATACACTTCAAACTTTAGAACTTATACCTCGTAAAGTCTGACGCGAACTGTCCACTGAAGTTATACTCACCTACATTACTAATTGTCGTTGAACATGTATGTAGTAAGTGTAGTAACTGATGACGTCCCAGTTTATTTCGTCAGTTACTAAAAATGCTCGTATGCTAGACTCGCGGAAATGTTACGTACTCGATGGTCCAAAATAACGACACTAACCTTAAAACTGGTTAAAATTACTTCGTTTCCAAAAATGGATCATTTTCCAAACGAAATTGAGGTGTAAACCAACTGTCGGCATCTAATACAACAACCAAATCTAACAATGACAATTTTTAGTGCACTTTCACATTCAAAAAATAAGTTAAGGCATGAAATGTCCAAAAAAAAAATGTCAAAACGAAAATTCAAATATGAAAGTGCACTCTTCGCTTCTTGCTCACAAGCGGCTTAACGAATTTTTTGCAGTTCTGCCTGCAATATATCGGGTAACAAACACTTTATTCTTGTATTTAGGTACAAGTAAAATTTTCTTAAACATTTTCCGTAACTAAATTAAAGTACCAGAAAACAGCAGCATTGTAAATTTTAATTTCACTCAAAGCTTTTTCAATTGACGTTCCTCTAATATAATTAAATCTTGTTTGAGCAACGAAGTAAAGTTACATCGACACAATTACTTGACGATTATTATAGCAGACGATATAAAACGACATCCCAGCAAACACTGTCTATTGCCGTAATGTAACTCTAGAGTGACATGTTATATAAGATTTTACATGTAACATAAACATTGTTGCAACAAAACCAGTACAATGAACAACTATGAATATTATACTACATAACTGTTACATTTCATTTACTACACCGTAACGTAACTTTTAAAAATAATTTGTATAGCAAATATGTAACACACTTACGTTGTGGTTATATGTTAAATAAGTAAGTTCAATTTATATTAAAAATAAATATACCGTCAACGTAAGTTAGTTACGATATTACTGTATAACCAGCAGTTCATAGATGCAATATAACATAAATGTAGCTACGTTACTACGTTCATAATTCTGTTTTTCCCACCCGGGCAACAGAACAAAAAAGTTTTAGGTTAGCTTGTGTTTTAACCTGGTTTTAACTCGTGTCTCGTGTTATTTTTATTATTTTGTTTGTTTTGTGTTCATTTATATTTCGATTATTATCAGGTATGTATATTACCATATTAATAGTTAAACATTTATGCTAATATGTTAATTTTACTTTCGGTACCTTATATCGAATAATCTATACCTATAATGCTCAGTAATGCAGTGATTCATATTATTCCAAATGAGTAAATTAAATACAAGAATGGATGTATAGCTTTTGTGCAGAGGGATAAAATTCAAGTATGATAAGCTGATGTGGTCCTCAATTTTGTCTCGACTTTGTCTCATTTTCACTTGTGCAAGTGTGTACGTT